AGCAAAGAGGAATCCTGTGCTGGAGGAACTGAAGGGAGATAACAACCAAGACTTCAAGCGATGCCCGAACAATTGAACCAAGAGGGCTTGGGTAGGTGTAGCTGTCTTCAGACTTACTGTATGCATCCTCAAGAGACACTTAGTGTATGTATCTCCCAGCTCCAAGTAGAGAGCAGAGAAAAGAGAGGAAGATGCGGTTGCCTAATCTATTACCCTGGCAGGGGATTAGATGTGGGCCCAGAGGGATGTTTGTTCTCTCTGAGGGCTTATAGGACTGGGGGTTGAGGTCTTATCAGCAGGATATCCTACTAAGGATATGACATCTTCTGTCTGCTTCAGAGTTCATTTATAGTTGAGTATTGAAAGAAAAGTCGTTTCCCTCCATGTCCCTGTATAGCATTACAAGTTCGTAGCCATGTTTTTCAGAAGGGAGCCCCTTGCTGTTCTCTCTAACCTCACACTCAAAAGAGGGCTATCGCCAACACCCGATCAGATCATAGCAGATCAGGTTGCTAGGGCTTTACGTGGCCAAGTCTTGAAAGTGTCAGAAGATGCAGATTACACCATCTCTCAAAACGACAAAATCCTTACGCATTCATTGAGGGACCGTGCTACTGTCTCTTTTAGTGATGAGGTTACACAGCTTCTTTGGGAGATTTCATTCTTCCGAGAAGTGTTCGCATTTTTTTCCAATAATACATTTTTAGAGATTAAGTTCTGGCAGAAAAAGAAGTGGGCATATGACTCAAAAATTAGTCGTTAAAGCCACATTCAGTTTTCCTCCTCCTGATTAAACCAACTGCAAGTAAAACTTCTGCTCATTTAAAGACCACAAGTCTCTCATTTGTTTTAATGGGAGGGAGGGGACGGGGAAGCTAAACCTTGAGAGAAGTGTGAAAAATAGCATATGCAAGTGAAAAGAGATTACCTCTGCTACTGAATCTCGCAATCCCAGTTTAGGTTTTAAGAACTGTATATGTGTAACAGTTGGGTTTTTTAAAAAAATAAAGTATGTTGCTTATAATGGCATCACACTTCTTAATGTCTCAGGAAAAAAAAAATTTGATATGACCATGCTTGCTTCCGTGAGTCTTCACGCTCTCACCAGCAGAAGTCTGAAGACAGTTATTTAACTTTGTTGCCACCTGCAGGGTTGCCACTTAGAGTAGTGTTTTGTCTGGTGTGAAAATTGATCCAGTAGATATGGGACTGAAAGTTCCACCTCATTTCAAATAGGCCACCACCAAGCATTCACTGAGAATCGTATTTTTTCATGCTTGCTTCCGTGAGTCTTCACGCTCTCACCAGCAGAAGTCTGAAGACAGTTATTTAACTTTGTTGCCACCTGCAGGGTTGCCACTTAGAGTAGTGTTTTGTCTGGTGTGAAAATTGATCCAGTAGATATGGGACTGAAAGTTCCACCTCATTTCAAATAGGCCACCACCAAGCATTCACTGAGAATCGTATTTTTTGACATCTTTAGAAGTTCTCACTGACATCAGCCCAATGGATTACACGATGGAACTGCAAGTGATGGACACACATCTAGCTTGCTGGCTTTGTTCTCTGGCTAGTGTTTGCTGACAGATTTGATTTTTTAACTGCTTTTTAAGGGAAGCACTACTGGACTTAGCTCACTATTCGTAAGTTATTTGGGTTATTGGTGGATTGTTTGATATTATCCCTAAAGAGAGGGAGAGACTGTCAAAATGAGTGTCAACATTACCCCTGTTTTGTTCTAGAAGTGCTTAGATTTTGATAGTTCTTGAACTCAAAAGAGCAGCCTGTGTCAGTATATTGCTCTTTACTCTTTGTTAGATATTAGATTCAGCTAAGATACTGCATCTTTCTGGTATGTGTGGAATATTTCTTGTTTGAAGAAATTATTTTATCCTATTGAATCTTTGGTGTAGCTTCATGATGACAAAGGTGCCATAAGCATTAGCAGTCCTGGCCATGTTTTAGTCAGCTTCTTTCTCCACCTGAGCTGTTGGAGTTGACCTTTTTGGTTATTGCGTGACAGCTTTTGTTTTAGAGAGAAACATCTAAAATTCATATGAAATGATGATGAATTGATGACATTTGTATATATGGACCATTGCAGCGTGGCAAGCTCAGAGTCTTTCATGCCACAGTACCATGTTAGTTCCAGGAACTCCTGAAGGATTCCTAAGCTTGCATCTCCGTTATATTCAGATTTTGGCTTGACTTTAAAGTGCTCTTGTGCTATACCTACTGACAGCTGTGGTCAGAAACACAGCACTGGGATTCAGAGTATCTGCCAACTTCTTGCCAGCTCTCTATAATTTTGGTTCTCTCGTAGGCAGCATCCAGGGTACAGTCATAGGTAAGGTACATTTAGAGAGACAAGGCATGTGCAGAGCTGCTCATATATCTAATATTAGACTTTTAGATGCTGTCTGTATAGAAGAAGGAGAAAAGTAAGCTTCTAATTGGGAGTGTTTTAAAACATCTTAGAGGGATTTGGGTGAGCATGGGGTATATATTAAACATATTATGTGTACATTTCTGTTATATAAATGTATTATATATGCATGTCTGGTTATTTAACTAACTACACATTTAAAATCAATTGTGAAACTGTAGAAGCTTAGCTCCAATGAAATCAGTGGCAAAAAAATCATTTGCAGTTTTGTACACTTAAATTATATGAAATGAAGTGGAATAGCATGGCACTGAAGGTGCATTACTGAAAGCTAGTTTAAAAACATGTGTTATTGTAAAGATAGGCACAGGCATTGTTAGAAATCATTATTCTTTGTGTGGGTGTCTCAGAAAATACGATAGGCACGCCACATGAAATAGTCTTAGGAAAACATTGTGACCTTCATTATTTTGGCTTATACTTTCTCAGGATAAATCTGTTTACCTGCTCCCTAGAGGACTGATATGTTTGGATTGCATTGCAGTAAAATACTTTTTTTTCCTTCAAAGATTCATGCAGTTCTTGAAGAAAGTCTCATCGTATATCATGCGATCCAAAGACCATGACAAGTCCAGAAGGCTCTTTTGCAATATTGTAATGAAAAGTAGTTAACAGAGGGAAAAAACAAGTATTACTTGGTCATTGTAGTTCAGCCACCCAACACAAGATTTAGTACAGAGGGAATTTGGGGAGTATGCAGAACTAACATGCATGCCCATTTTCATCACTCTTGTGTGGCCACTTCAGTTTTCAGAAAATTGTGAGCTGCTTGATGTGAATATGTGTGGATGCTCTTCAGTTTCTTTGCAGCATGCAGAGAATATTTGCATGTGAAAATCTGCTGGTTTAGCTAAAAACCATAAAGGTGAATGAATGAATTTCACTGTCAGTGATAAAGCAGGGCAGAAGAAACCAAGTGTACTATCAACAGCGTTTGCCGTGTGCCAACTGATAAAAAAAGCTCATCACATGCCATATGTCAACTAATTGGAAGCTAAATTTGTGCCATATGCCAAGCAGTTGGAAACTTTATTCAGTTTTGAAGTGGCTATTCTGAAGCAAATGTGCATGAAAGAAACATACGGTTTTTGTCAGCCAAATGTGTGACAGTGCCATTTCCAGTCTGTGCCATTCAACTGTGTTAATAAAACTAATACTTGTATTTTTTCGTTGAAGTGTTCCTCATCAGGTGAAAAAAGAATTCTTCCAGAACCCAAAGAAAATTCAACCGAAAGCCACAATCTCCCTCCTTTTTGTTTTTTAAAAGATCTCTTCCTTCCTGGCTCTGTCTGGGCACTGAGTTGTCAATGTCATGCTCAGGTGGGATGCCCATTCTCTGCGGATTCGTTCAAAACCTTATGCGAGTCCAACACTCCAGGTGTGGAAGTATGTATAAAAACAGTGGGCTGGCTCCAGACAGCAAGTGAGGGGGTTTGCCAGGCCACTCTCACGTGCAATGCTGTCGTCGCACAACATTCGTCAGTCTGTTGCTCCTAATGTTCAGCATGCCGTGGACTTGCTTTTTATTTTCTTTCCATAAGGCACTTGTACAACTTTAATGTTGCTCTCGTTTAGAGGGTGAGCCTGAGACGACTCCGTCATTAAGTGAATCTCTTTCTCCCGTTGTTTTCTCCGCCAGTGAGTGCCAGTGAACCCGAACCAGAGACAGAAACAGAACCAGAACCAGAGCAGGAGGCTGAGGCTGAGGCCGAGCAGGGAGCGGAGACACCCAAGGAAATAGAGGCTACAGAGGTGGGACCAGAGAGTGAGGTGGAGCAAGGACCAGAGAGAGAGCCAGAAGAAAGTGCAATACTCAGTGAAAAAGAGAGGCAGAATGAGGAAGTGAATGAAAAAGACAACTGCTCTGCATCCAGCATATCCTCAGCAAGCAGCACTTTAGAGAGGGAAGAGAGAGAGGACAAGTTAACCAGTGACAATGAAACTGGTAAAGTGAAGCTTTTTCAATAACGAAGTGTTTCTGGTGGAAAAAAAATGTTAAATTAGCAGCTCTGTTGTGTTAATTAGCTAACAAATCCTTTGCGCCTGTCTAAGACTTCCATCACCCTGGCCAAATCCGTTTCCATTCTCTGCTTGGAAATCCACAGGCTTTGATGGGGTTTCTATGTTTGAGGAACAGTAAGGCTGTGATCAAAGTAGGTTTCCTTTGACTCGAGGCCATTTTCTTCCCCTAAGATTAATGTTTTAACTATTGAATCATCATGTTGCAGTGACTTGCATCTCTAGCTCCCAGAGAATTTATTTGGGTTTTCTACACATAAAACAATGAGAGGAGGGGCCCTGTTGATACGATTTGTCATGAGATTCCAGATACCTTTTCTCATGCTATTAGCTTTTAGTGGAAGAGGAAGAGCAATGAGGACTGGGATGTTTGTTCCTTCCCTCCAATTTCCTGTCTTGGTTAGACTTCAGAAAGCAGAGAGAGATACATAGGAGCTGCTGAAGATAGGTCTGGGCCGTGGCCATCCTTAGCTTGTGTGGAGGAGGCACATGAAATAGACCTTGACTGGAAAAGACCGGTTCTGTAGCGACCAGTGGTTCTGGTCAGACATACCACCAGGCACCTGTAAAGGGGAGCCCAGCCTGAAAAACACATTAAGAACCAGTTTTCCTCCTGGAGAGATAATGACAACCAGAGCTTGACACGCAGCCCAGGTAGGGGAGTAAAAGCCAGATTTTGACCTTCATTGATTAATTACTCTTTTCTACTTTTTCATAGAGAGGTAAAGGAATAAAATGTAGTTAGGGCATTTGGTTTCCAAGTCTTCTTAGGGCTGAACAGGGGAGTACATTGTCCTAAGTTTTCTAAATTCTAGATAAGAAAACAAAAATTGCTTCACAGTGTGAAATGGTCTTGCTCTTTCCTGAAAGAAGAGAGATGATACTGAATCACAAGGATTACCTCACAGAGATAAACTGTCAGATTGTACTGTTCATGTTTAAACCCTATCACTTTTTTTTTCTGGGAAGCATTAAGTTAATTTTTATTCTAAATTTAAGAGCTATCTTCTTTTCAACCAGCACCAAGATTGAGTTACTTAGGATGCTGTTGTACTCTTAAAGAATGTAGATCGATATATATGTAGGAAAGGGAGGGGAAGTATGACAGATGAAGGATGTCGTTAGACTATGGCATAGTCCAAGATAGTCCAAGTGCAAGTAAGGGAGAACAGGTTACAGGTTTTTTCCCCTCATCTTGTCTGTTACCAGCCTGTTACCACTCTAATTAAAGTGCTTATGTACTTTTTGTTAAAAGGTAAGAAATGTATCCTGTTACCAAAAAATCAACACCTTAAAATTGACCTACTTTACCAGTAGACCAAAGATTTATTAGGTTGTGCTATGTAGGAGGTCTCATGTAGTGAGTTGTTCGCTCTCTAGTAGGTGAGGAGATTCGAAAAGCAAGCAAGAGCGCTTTCTCCAGCAGTTCTCATATTCCCAGCAAGCAGTTTGCCATTCATGAGGTGGCCCATTGGTTCCGCCCAGATGCATTAAGGACAAACGAATAAAGCCTTTGGTCTTGGGTCCTCCTTCATTAGCCATCCTGC